TGAGCGAAATGGGCCACGGACGGAGACGCCAGCACGCGCTCCAGAACGAGGGCGCGCAATCGACGAAGCGAGAAACATACATTCTTTCTTGACACGCCCCTCCAGACTGACAGCCCGTTCTCGAGAGCCAGGTGTTAGCCGAAACTTAGCACGCAGTGCTTGTATGTTCTGCGAAAAGCCTGGCTATATATATGATAGTGCAACAATTACAGTCTCAGGACTTCCCCCCAGCGTCGTCGATCGCCTTGACGGCTGCAGCCCACGCCTCAGCGGTCGGCTTAGGCCCCCCCCAGCCCTTGGAGCTCTCGGTGTAGTAGCCCGACCAGCCCATGAGGCTTTAGGCGCGTTCTGCGAGATACTCTGTTACCCTCGCCACCATTCCCGCTCGCTCATGGCCCTGGCGGCCCCCGATCCCAAGACGAACGATGGACACATGAGGCGAGGATTGGGGAGGACGAGGAGGAGCTAGGATGAGGAGGAGCTAGGAGGAGGGGGAGGAGGGAGATGGAGGAGGAGCAAGAGGAAGAAGGAGGAGGAGGAGGGAGACATTTAAGAGGTGGAGGGGGCGAGGAAGGAGGGGGCGAGGGAGGAAGGGGCGAGGGAGGACGGAGGGGGGAGGAGGAAGGATGATAAGGAGGAGGAGGGGGGGGGGGGAGGCGGAGGAGGATAAGGTCAAAACACATTCAAAACAGCCTGAGTGTTTCCACCACTACGAAGAGGGATGATGGTGATGAGGAGGAGTAGGAGTAGGAGGAGGACGTACCCAAGACACCCAACGCATAATAGCATGAAACTGTTCGGGCGCGGGGAGGGAGGGGGGGTCGGCGGGGGAAGGGGTGAGGGGGGCAACCAATCTCGACGAAGCGGTGCGATGGCTGGCGGTAGTTCGCTAAACGTAATGAATTGCCGCGCTCTCTGAGAGCACGGAAGCGAAAAGCTGTGCGGCTCGTGTAGATTATGCCCTGCTTGTAGACCACTGGCGGTGGGTTCGAACCGTCCTTTGGCATCGACGGCATTGCGCTCATGATCTTTGACTTCGGGATCGGCTTCAAGTCGGCAGTCGCCGCACGGGGCTTCTTCACACCCTTTGCAGCCGCGGCAGGCTCGGTCTTTACAGCCTTGGCGGGCTTAATGGAAGCAACGGCTGCTGCTGGGCGCTTCCGTGCTGGCGCCTCAGTCTTGACCTCAGCGTCCTTCTCTGCAGCTGCTTTCGCAGCTTCCTTCTTAGCTGCGGCTTTCGCCTTCGCTTCCTCCTTCTGCTTGCCCTTACGCTTCTTGAGGGCCTCGATCGCAGCACGGGCGTGGGGGTCCAAGTCCTCTAAGCACGGCCCGTCGTCATCATCGGCGGCGTCGTGCTCCGCATCGCCCTCGGGTTCATGCTTCTCAGCCTTTATAGCGCCCTGCTCCTCACGTTTAGGGGTTTCGAGCTCACGCTTGGCAGACGGCTCATGCTTGGCAACCTTCAGCGTCCCATCAGGAGCCCGGTGGACAGCCAAGCTGGCTCGTGGCTCTTCTTTCACGGGAGGTGATTCAGGGCCCCGCGCAGCCGATTGGCTTTTCTCTTTGCGGTACTCGAGCAACTTGTGCTGGTACTCGTAGAACAAACCCATCTCGTACGGGTCAGTCGGTGATGGGATGAGCGCCCCTGCTGGTGATGCGGTGCGTGCGTCGGCTGTGGGCGCTGGTGCGATGTCATGGCTGTGGGCGGTGTCAAGCTCTTCATTTGCTGCTTGAAACTTTGCTTTAACACCTGGTTCAAAGGACGACTTCAGCTATTGTTGGAGCGCAACGATATACTGTCAGCTACTGTGTTGATGCCCTTGAGCTCGATCGTGATCGGCTGGTCATCATCAGGGTAGGCGGACTGGAAGATGTCTGTTGGGAGCTCCGATGGTGAAGCTGGGTATTCCAAGATGCGCGAGAATCCGAAGTCTTTTTTTTCGGACTTGAAACAAGCCTTGAAATCTTTCAGTAAATCCCAAAGTTTTTTTGGCTCTGGTGGGGTCTCGTAGTGCGTGATTGCTAGTAGGGCTGTCCCCCACCTGAACGTATGCTGGGAAGGATCGTTGCAACCGACGGCCATGGCGCGCTCGACCATCGTCGTCATCTTGCGGTTCACCGACAGTTTCGGGTTTTTGAGCACATCCCAGTCCGAAGACGTTAGGTAACACCACCACTCCTTAAGCGATTGCTTACCAGAGCCTTCTGGCTTGACGGGGCCGATGCCCTTGGCGACCTTGCTGTCGACGATGGCCATGATCCGTTTGGTCTGGTCCTCGCCGCACGGCTCACCCCTCAACGCGTCGACGATCTGGGTCGCCTCGGCTGGGCCGAAGCTTTTCATATTGTTCAGCATGCTGATCAGAGTGTCGGCAAAGCTCTTCTGGAGCATGGGATCACAGCTGCTGTTCATTTCTGCCCGAGCCTTGAAAAAGACTTTCACGCTACCGATCTCCTTGACTAGTAAGCTGCAGTTGCAGCTTGAGCTGGCCATCCAGCTGGTGTGAGTAAAAGCCAACAAGCGCTGATGTGGCTCAGCCTTCTGGCTCGTGAGGCGACTGGCCTTCAAGCTCGTGAGCCAAACGGCCATGGATGAGCTGAGCTGACAAGCTACACGACGACGCTATGTGGCGCCAACAGAGAGAGAGAGACGGCTAGCACCGATACAGAATGCGATTGAATGCAACAATACCGATTCGGAATGAAACGGAATAAAATGAAAGGAAATTGAATGAAACGGAACTGCAACGGGAAGGAAATCACCAAACGGTGATGAATGAAATTGAATGAAACACCATCGAAAAAGAATGAAACATACTGAGACAGCGAGACGGAATGACATCCACGACGACTGGAGGGGGGGAGGTGGGGGGCCACCCCATGAGATGAGCGAGAGAGGCTGCGGAGCCAGGAGAAGAGGGAGTAGGGGGGTTGAGGAGAACGACGACTGCTTGACTGCTGAATCGCCCCCCTCCTCCTCCTCCACATCCCCCTCATCCTCCTCGGTCTCCTCCTCGTCATCCTCCTTCCTGTCCTTTCATCCTCCTCATCCCTCATCCCCCTCACCCTTCTGGCTCATCCTCATTCCCCTCGTCGCCATCATCGCCGCCATCCTCCGCATCCCCGCCGTTGCGCCACAGAGGGTCGGCGGCGCGCCGAGGGGCGCAGACCCCCCTCCTCATCCTCCTCATCCGAAGAAGAAGAGGGAGGAGGAAGCAGCCACAAGGAAGGAGGAAGGAGGGTAAGCAAGGAGGAACGAGGACGGAGGAGAAGGAATGAGGAGGGAGGAGAGAGGAGGGACGAGGGCGGAGACAGCGGGGCGCGGGGGTGAAGTGAGGAGGAGGAGGAGGAGGGGGAGGAGGAGGAGGAGGGGGAGGAGGAGCAGGAGCAGGAGTAGGAGGAGAAGGAGGAGGAAGAGGATCAGCAGGAGGAGCAGGAGGAGGGGGATGATGAGCAGGAGTAGGAGGACGAGGAGGAGGCGGGGGAATGACGAGAAGGAGGAGGCGGAGGGAGGAGGAGAAGGAAGGACGAAGGAGGAATGATGAAGGAGGACGGTGGACGGAAGAATGAGGAAGGAGGGAGGAGGAAGGAGGAGGAAGAGGAGGAGGATGAGCCGCCGCATCCTTCTCATCCTCCTCCTCATCCTCCTCCCCCTTCGCCTCATCCTATACTCATTCTCCTCATCCTCGTTATATGTGTCACCCTTCTCCTTGTCCTCATCATCCCCATCCCCCTCCTTCTCCTGACAAAACGCCGAAACACCACAGAGACGGAATGACGACATTCACGACGACTGGAGGAGGGGGGAGGTGGGGGGCCACCCCATGAGATGAGCGAGGGAGGCCGCGGAGCCAGGAGAAGAGGGAGTAGGGGGGTTGAGGAGAACGACATCATAGACGAACTGAAACTGATGGGCTATTTAAGTCGGGGGCGTGGGAGGGGCGGTAAAGCTTGTAGCATTGTATGGCATAGCATTACATGTTGACGTTGCATGCATGGCATGGCACTCCACCGATCCGCGCGCATGGCATATCATTTTGATGCTCGGACTGCACGCATGACATATCATAGCACAGCGTCGGATGCATCCCTTCCCCCGCCCCCATTCACGCGAGACCTGATCGCCCAACATGTCCGCTGAGTGGAGGAGGAGGACAGGACTCTCCCTATCCATCCTCATCCTCTGTTTCATCCTCCTCCTCCTCGCCCTCCTCATCCCTCCCCTTCTACTCCTCGCGTTCATCCACCTTCTCCTGGACACGGGGCACGGAGGCGAATGAGGAGGAGGGCAAGGTGAGTAGGATGATGATGGACACAGAGTGGGGATGATGTTGGTTTGCATCGCGCCGCGGTCCGCGTTGTGCACGCCGACGGCGTCACCGTGGCTCTGCGCACCTGTGGGCACAGAGCAAGAAGCTCTTCATCAAACGTGGCGCACCGAGCCATGGATTTCGACGATTCGAAACGCGAGCTTCTCGCCAGGGATGTTCGCACCAGGAATTGGTTCAAACCTGCATCAAAACGAACCAAACTGACCACGCACTTGGCTCGGTGCCTAAAGCCTATGGCGCAAAAAGTGCGCAAACATGCCTGTGCAAAGGGGCGGGGGCGCCTCCACAGGTCGCCTGATTGGGTACAATGGGATGGAGAGGGTGAGCGTCGGGGGGGGGGGGGGGGGGGGGGCGGGGGGGGCGATTGGAGAGGGGAGAGGGGTTGGAGAGGGGCTCATCCTCACTCTCATCCTCCTCCCTACCCTTATCATCCTCATACTCCTCCTCTCCTCATCCCTCTGCCCCCCTCGGGTAGAGGCCTCCTGAGAGGCCTATGGACGCGTGGGGGGAGGTTGGATCAGGGAACGAACCCCACCAAATCGGATGAACTCCGACGGTCTATGGAGGCGCACCAGCTAGCCCGACAGGCCCCTGCGGCGGCCTCACGACGGCACAGCAGAGCCCAGGCCTTCTCGAAGCCGAATTCGTTTGACTACCAAGTCTCTAGAGTCAATCGCAGCGATCCTGCGTTTGACTCTAGAGACTTGGTAGTCAAACGACGGCGGTCCTGCGTTTGACTACCAAGTCTCTGTAGTCAAACGGTGGCGGTCCTGCGTTTGACTACCAAGTCTTTGTAGTCAAACGCTAGACGCCTCCGTTTGACTACCAAGTCTCGGTAGTCAAACGCCGAACCGATATACTCGCCTACTCGAGGCCCAGCAGCTTCCGAAGCGTCGCCTACTCGAGGCCCAGCAGCTTGCGAAGCTGCGAGCTCTTGTTCTTGTAGTCCGCTGCGTGGGCCTCGAAGCCCCTGTAGTCGCCGTTCTCGTAGCACGAGATCAACGACGCACAGCGCGGAAGCCATCCTCCGTGGCCGCCTTTGCCCCTGGATGGCTCGCTCTTCCCGTCGCCCTTGCCGCCCTTCGCGCCGCCCTTGCCGCCCTTGCCACCGTTGTCGGGCGTCTTGACGATGGCCTCGAACGCCTGGTGGCCGCTCACCACCGTCACGCCGTCCGACTCGCTGGACGACCACCACGGGAAGTGGAGCGGCATCGTCGGCGCGTCCTCGAACGAAGCGGCCGCCTCCGACCAGAACAAGATGGAGATCTCCCCTTCGTTCTGGACGTTCTGGCGCTGCAGCTTCGTCGCCCACATCGTGTCCGATGCGTACCAGCCGTCGTCGGTCCTGAAGAGGTAGATGTGAGCCCAGTGGCCGCTCTTGAGCTCGCGCTGCTCCACCGACTTCCAGAGCCACCCGCCTGAGACCTCAAGCGACGTGTTGAAGTACATGCCAGCGGCCGTCTGGACGGCCCAAAGCGTGTCCTCCGAGCACTGCTGCAAGAACTCGCTCGTGCTGAGCTCATCCGTGTGCACGCACAGCGTCGCGTGGCGAAACGGGTTGAACACCATGGAGCCAGCCTGCTCTGCGATCGCCGCCAACTGCGCGAGCTCTGAGTCCTTCGTCAGCCGAAGGCGCGTCGGCGGCGGGCCCTCGGGCTGCCTTGGCCCGCGAGAGGCCTTCCTCTCCGTGAGAAGGTCCTTGCGGAACAGCCCCGCCATCGCGACACGGAGCGGATGCGCGCGAGACCGCGCGAAGCAATGGACGCGCCTCAAAGGCGCGACTAGCGCGAAAGCAAAGTCGCGCTTCGAGCCAAAATGGTTGACGCGGAGGATGTTTGGAGAAGGAGGTGTGGATGTGGAGGTGTGGTGTGGGCGTCGTGCGTAGGAAGGCGAACCTCTTGGCCAATGAAGGCCTGTCTTGGGTGGCCGCGCCGTTAAATATGAAACCGCGCCTGCGGCGGGCGTACCATGGAGCTCTTGTGGGCCTCGGGGCATATACCATATCCACGGCCTGTGACATGCCATCATGCTTATAGCGTTGTGACCTACCATTGGCGACGACATATCGAGGGGGGGAGGTGGGGGGCCACCCCATGAGATGAGCGAGAGAGGACACGGAGCCAGGAGAAGGAAGAGGGAGGGGGGTAAGGAGAACGACGACCTACATGGACTGATACTGATTGAACTAATTCTGATATTATGGTTTGGGGTTTGAGGCTGGACACAGCCTAAAGGTGCAAAGTATAGCATTGCATCGCACCACGAGCATAACATAGCAATCTGTGATTTCAGCAAGATTAGTGGCATGCAACGTACACGGCGCGCCCCTTTCGATTTCGACCCATTCGGTTCGGGAGTCATCCTTCCTCGCCCCCCATCCTCATGCCCTCCTCCCCTACTCCGTGTCCTCTCCTCCACCTTCCCTCATCCTAATCCCCTCCCCCCTCTTTTACCTACCACTCCCCCAGTCCTCCTCATCTATTGCCTATTTCCTACTCCTCATCCTCCAAAAGCGGACCGATGTACTAACCATGGGGAACGTTAGTAACATTCTCCCTCTCCTCCTACCATACTCCTCCTCCTCCTCCCCTCCTCCGCCCCCTCCCCCTCCTACTCGACTTAATCATCTTCATCCCCCAGCCCAAGGCCGGGCGCTGCTATGCCATGTGGCGCCCACGTCACATCGCCCTCATCTCCTCTCCCCTTCCTATTTCCTACCTGTCCCCTCCCTCCCCTTCCCCCCTCCCCCTCCCTCTCCGTCGTCCCTTCCCCGTCCCTCCCTGCCTACCTCCACATTTACTGAATATGAATACTATTCTCCTCTCCCCCCTGAATAATCACCTTCCTCATCGCCCTCGCCCCCATCATTCGCAACTGTTTCAAGATCACAACGCGAGACGACAAGATCAGCACAATGAAATCGAGCTCAGCACCATGGTGGCTACGGGCGGACGCATGGCACATCGTGAACTAGCCATGAGGCTCATGATATGTGGGCTGTGATCGCTGCTGTGGCCTGTTATCGCCGCTGCGTGCATCTTCACGGGCGACAATCGCCCTTGAAGATACCCACGACGTCGACAGCAGCACGCAACGACGATCACAGTCCACAATTGGACTTGCTGCCCACGGGCATGACAGCTGCACCATGCAGCTTACGAAGCCGAGCTCGAACTGCGGCTGGCCGATGACGACGAGCTTGAGCCTGAACCGCCATCTGCAGGGGGGGCAGTGTCCATCGCCTCCACGACGTCGGGGA